CATCCTCCACCACCTGTTTTAGTTCGGGCGCCAGTGTAAGACATTAGGTTATTTCGAAGCAGGAGGCATGAAAAATGAGCAAAGCCCTTCTCCCGGACGCATATTTCACAAGTGCACATCTGTGTAGCCACCGAGGGAGTGGCTTCTAGGATGGACCAATGAGCATCCAGTAATATTTCAGCAAGATGGTTGAAAATACTCTGGCAAGCAAGTAAAAAATGATGAAAGCATCGTCGATTGCTTCTGAAACTTTTCATTGCAAAGGTATATCAAATATAGGCAATTATGAAGGCCAATTGAAGTTATATCAAATATATGCAATTATGATCAAATATAGGCAATTAGGAAAAATACAAATACATGTTGGATACTTCGCAAAAATATCGATGTGAAATATTACTTAATAAGTGGTAAATAAGATAAAGAAAAAATATATGATAAACACCTGAGCGCAAATGCAATCTTTACATAAAACTATGCCTATCAGAAACATATTTACACCAATTATATATGTAAATAGAGTAAATAGAAGTCAGCACTTTTTATTGCAGTCTATATGGGAAAAAATGTCTATAGTAATAACCAATGCAGAATTTTATTCGAAGTGAAATTTACTAATTTGCATTCGTATATATTTAGTGTGTTAAATTTCACATTTAATAACTGCTACATGTGTACTGTCTACACAAGAAATACTCATCAAGCAGAGTGAATTCATCTTATTTATAACAAGTATATTCAATTTATTCACATATAACTTTAATTTTAACAATGAATATAATCAGATCATATGTATTCTGAATCTCACACTTTAAAAATCAAAAGAATGCAAGCACTGAAATAAGAAAACACTAGATTCATTGTAACACTTTCAGTCATTCTCATCTCTCTTAAAAAATATATATACTTGAATTTTCTTAATCCACATAATATGCCGTGAACATCAATCCAAACATTAATGCGTGATAAAAATCTCGAAAGTGGAATGTCAGCGATGAATTAAACTCAGAAAATGATAGCACTACAAGATTTCTACTATTACGCCATATATTTGTAACTGGCAAACAGATGTAAATTAAAACTTAACGCACACTCACATGCATGAAGATTTGGCGTCGTCACAAGAGTAATAGCAGCTCAATGGTCCATTTTCGAAACCCCTCCATCAGTGGCTGCATTGATGTGAACTTGTGAAATATGCCTCCCGGACTCTAACCACGGGCCTCTAGACTAAGCGTCGAACGTGCTGACCACTACACCACGAAGGCATGCTAAGAAAGCGGGAGAAATACGTTATAAGCATAACATGGATTTTTCATTTAAGTAATCGTTTTAAAAGAATATGCGAAAATACAAATTCTCTTCGGAATTAAGTTGACCAGTTTATAATCTCAGCTAGTGACATTTGGATATACTATTGGAGGAAAAATTCCAAACAAAAGTTAAATAACTAATATCATATGCATATAATTTTTAAAGAAAAACAAAAAGGAAAACTTTAAAATGAATGAATTTTAAAATTTATTTAAAATTCACTAATATATATATATATATATATCAAATAGTTAAATATCTGAATTACTTAAAGCTATGTCAAAAACTTAAATTAATAATTAAGTAAATTAAACCATTCTAGGAACATGCTAAAGATCCATGCCACATTGCGTCATGCCACGTGTGTGTGTGTGTGTGAATGTGCGCGGTATGGAAAATTTAATATAAAATTACGTTAAAGCTTGAAACATAAAATGTCTCACAAAAATGATCGGCCAATACGATTTTTTTAATTTTTATGTAATAGGCGAAAATTTTTGAAATAATTTTTGAAATAAGAAATATTTTTCGTTTGAATACATACTTTCTTAGCTCTCTCTATGTACTAAATAAACTTGAAAAAAAAATTAAAAACTAAATTTAAAAAATAATGTTTTAGGCTGAAATGGGGAAAAAAAATTTCCACAAAATTTATTGGACATTTTCATAATTTCTAATTAAAATTGTCTGCAATAAATAAAAAACGAAATTTTATGATAGTTTAAAGAAGCTAGGCAGAAATCTAAAAATCGTTTGCTTTTATAACTTGAATTTTCTTTTCAGAAAATAATCTTTATTTTAAAGTTTTCTTGCTATGGCTCGGTCATGAAAGGAAACATCGTTAGAATCCCGCAGATTAGTTATTCATTTGCATCAAAAGAAAGAGAAATTTATTCGAAAAATTGCCTATTTACTTAATTTAAGTAAGTCTACAGTTTTTGATAGTATTAAGCGTTATAAGAAACAGAATCGTTTTCAAAACAAAAGAAGACCTGGAAGACCATCTAAGTTATCTGATGGTATGAAACGCTTTATTAAAATGAATCCAAGACTGATATTCCTAAACTTGTTGCGGAACTTCGTGAATGGAATATGTGTAAGAAGAGTATTGCGATCTGCAGAATATCATAGGCGAGTAGAGTGTGTGTGTGTGTGTGTGTGATTATGGCAAAGCCTCGAGGGCTATCTGCCTAAAGGAAGGGATGCCTTCGTGGAGGACTTTCTAAGGGAAACTGGCTCGTATACACGTTACACATGGGAAAAACCACGAAAACGCCCATGCAGCCAGCCCGTTCGCGGGATTCGAACCTCGGATCGAACTACCAGTGTTCAGCGACTTTACCGCTCGGCCGCTGGTGGGCCCCATAGGCGAGTAGAAAGAAAAAAATTTTATGCCAGGAGAAAAAAAAAAAAAAAAAACGAAAACTTTGAATTTTTAGCTGAGATGGACGAGTGCTGGTGTGAAGAAAACTGAAGTAAGAATTTCGGTGTGGTTTGGTTTGGTTTATTTAATTATGGCAAAGCACACTAGGGCTATCTGCCTAAGGGGGAGGGATGCCTCCGTGCTGGACTTTACTAAAGGAAACTGGCTCGTATACACATTACACATCGTAAGAATTTAGGAAGCAAAACTTAGTACCAAGCGAAGTTTGGCATATTCAACCCAAAAGTTTAATATACAAAATAGTTTTAAATTCTACCAGAACTGTGGCTGTTATATAGTAAGAGTCCAGAAGTAATTAAGGCACCACACCAATCGCCAGATCTTAATCCTATTGCGCATATTTGGCAGAATTAGAACTGAAAATTCAAAAACTGAGCATATATTCTCGGCAGTAACTGAAAGCAGTGATTCAAGAGGAGAGGCATAAAATAAGTCCAAAAATAACAAAAAACTTGTAGAGTCAAGGCCCAAAAGATAAAGGGTAATCCCACAGGATATATATTAAGAAGCAATGTAAACAATGTAAGTTTTTTTTCATTTTTGCTGTTACTAAAAGTATCCGATTATTTTTGTGAGAATATTTTTCCTCATTAAGCAAAAGATATTTATTTTTTAATTTAATTTTAATCTTTTCTAAAATGTATTTACTTAAAAAAATGTTGAATTTATATATAATCAAAATAAGGACCTTTCTTTTTGTTTTAATTAATTTTAGTTTTTATGTTCATTAAAGAATACGGCTCTAGTGTAGAATTGGGTGCCCCTTCGATTAGCGACAATTTTTTTTTTTTAATTTTGGCAATGAAATCTCACTTCTGGTTACCATGATAGTTTTAACTCTGTTTTAGCTTCCTGATTTTATTTAAATGAAAATAGATTGATGTGTACATGGACTAGACCGTCAATCTCGGAACGCCTGCTATTGTTAGCTGGGCGAGTTCAATATACACAGGTGAGAGGAATAGAAAGGAAAGGTTCCGCAATCGTTTCGAACGGAAATAATTAGATCGTGGAATGGCTTTCAGTGGGTACCAGGGGAAAAAGGTATATGCTTGCCGACTTATTCCTGAACCGCGGAAGGTGTTTCGCTGCTTATTTTTATGCTCCATTTTTATTGAACATTTTGTTTAAGGACAGATTAATTTTTATCAATTTGTGAAACAAACAAACAAAATATATATTTCGTAGAGAAATACGTGTTTGCAATGTAAAATTTTATGCTTATTTAAATTTGCTTAAAGGCATAACGTTTTGGCGAAATTACGTACTTTTGTTTATTCCAATGAAATTTAATATTTATTAGAATTCTTATTACGGTAAAGTAACAGAGTATTACTTTACTTTAGATATTGCAGAAAATTGTAACTGTAAAAAAAAAAGGGCAGACAATCAGTAAGAATAATAAATAATACACTTACTAACGAAACCCTAGCTACCCTCACAAAGCAGGAGCCCGTTCATAGTAGGCGCTCAATCCCGGAACGACTGAAATTCGGTATACTCAAAATCCCTTTTCCTTTCTTCTCTTAGCTCATCCCTACTTTCACGTACCATACCTACAAATCTTGGACTCTTCCAGCAAACAATAGAATTCGTTCTGGGATTGAGCGCCTACTGTGTACATGGACAAATTTAAGGCAGTGCGCAATGCCTAGTTTGTGCAATTCTAGGATGTTTTTTTAAGTGAAAACAGATCAATGTGTACATGGACACAGGGTCTGTGCGATTCTTTGACTTCTTATTTTGGTTTTGTGCAGCGACCATCAAGAAATTGTACTACCTTCCTGGTGGGTGCCGATCTTGGCATCAAAAAAAGAATCGCTAAAAAACAAGGGGCACCCAATTGTAAACTTTTACCAAGAATACAAAAATTTAAAGTGTCCGATCAATTTTGGGAGCCACTTTATAGAGTTCCGAAATTCGAGATATCCTGGAATACTCGATAAAGGTTATTTATTCAATTAAATGACGCTTATTAAATTTAGTCTTTTATGACAGAATTTATAAATTAACAGTAGTTAAAATTTGGTCATTGGTACACGAAAAAAATATATATATATGATTCATTCACAATTCCCTCTCAGGTTTTCAATGAAGGTTACTTCCAAATTCATTAAAAATACTACTTCAAAATACTACTATTTAATTTTTTTTTTTTTTTTTTTTTTTTTAAACTCAGAAAACACGTACTCAATCGTAACACATATTCATGCATTCACACATACACGCGCACACGCAGAAACAAAACAATTGAATTCGTATTTGAAGATGGCGGCGTGCTAACATTTAGTGTGAATGAAGTTCAGCAATATTTTTTATGTTAGTATTTTCTCCTCTTCAGCTACGGAACTGATTCGTAGGGGAAAAATACGAACAGAGTATTTAAAATTATATAATGTGAGTGTATAAAGTTTTTTTGGTATGATAATTCCCTTTAATATACCGTACTAAGCCATAATAGTTATGGTAAAATATGAATAAGAACTTATTTTGTGAGTAAAAAGCGCTGTGGATTACTCCTTATATTTATTGACAGATTTTATTAATTTATAAATTTTCAGTGTGTAGATTTAATGTGTTATTTAACCGAATAAATAATTCTTATCATGTATTTCATGATAGCTCAAGTATAAAAAATTTAAATGTCTCAGTCTTTTAAGATAATTTAAGTGTGCTAAATTGCCCGTGACATATTTATTATTATTTTTCTGTTAAGTGCAATTAAATTATTGAATACCTGTTTTCGTTCTTAAGGAAGAATAGTTAATCTTTGAAAAAAAATTTTTTTGGGGGGGATGAAAGTTCTTTGTAAAGAAAGTTTAAAATAATGTTCAATCTAACAGTAGTTTTTGTCAACACGAAAAACATTCCCTCCGTATTCGTATCTGATATGTAAATTAAGTTTTATAATGAAAATAAGATGATAAAGTAAGTGAAGTAAATTTATACAAATTTGTTTATTTACGTATAATGAAATATATTTTGTTGTGGATTTATTGCTGATATTTTAGTCATTACAGAAACGCTGTTTTTTTTTTCTATATTCGGGATTAATTTAAATGCCTGAAAATATTCTTTCCTGTGTGATTTAAAATGAAAACAAATTCTGCACTCTTTTAATAAAATTTTGTGCATGGTATTAGTTGTCAAAATTATTTTTCTTTCATTAAGTTGTGCTGTTGCATGATTAAAAACAATGTCCCATTTTACCAAATTTACAATTTGCTTTGTAATGTGTGTTTGATGTTTCTTCATGATGTTACAGTTATCAACTAAAATTGGATATATACTGCCACAGCATACGAAACCTGTATAAAAATTTTCATAGATTTCCGAAGAAATAAATTTTGATAGCAGTTAGTTACAAAAAAGTATATTGTAGTTCAAGAAAAGGGGAAACTGCAGAATCGCCCACTGCTTGGCGTGTTTTTAAGAATTGCACATACTCAGTATCCATTAACATGTCGACCTATTTTCACTTAAAAAAGATCCCAGAATTGCACAAAAATGGCATTGCGCACACTCTTGACTTTATCCATGTACACATTGACCTATTTTCACTTAAAAAGGTCAAAGAAAATTGACAAAAATCCAATTCTTCTTACTTTTGTAAAAAGCGCCAAACAAATAAGTGGGTGATTCTGCACTTTAGCCCCAAAAAATATGGTATAAAGTGTTTAACAGTATAATTATTTAAAAAATAATATAATTATTTAAAAAATAATTATAAAATAAAAGTATTTTTAGTTTTTCTTAGCATATGATATAGAAACTTGATTTATTATAACAGTATAAAATGTTTGCACAAATAGGAAAGTATTTTGTGTAAGTCAAAAGAACATTATTAAAATTGAAACATCCTTTGAAATGCAGTCTGTCCTGTGAGTGAGTCCTTTGAAATTTATCCTTATGTGTGCTTTTTATTGTGGTATGGTTATTATTTAAGCTGTCGGTAAAAATATATGGTACTTTTCCATTTCACCGAGTCAAATATCGCCATGCAGACTTCATTGGCAACAACATACAGTATACACATAAAAAATGTTAAGAAATGTTAGTTCTAAGAATTTTTATTTTGAAGGCATAAACATTTTAATATTGTTTAAAATTTTGTAAAAAGCCACTGAATAAAGGCAATAAATTTGTAAAAAGACAATTTAAAAATTTACTATGCTTTCATTGTTCAACATCCTGATTCGCCAGTTTATATCAAGTGACCCCAAGTGGGGTCTGATGCAAACTAGGCTACAAAAATCTAATTCAGTAATTATCTACATTAATTTCAAGTTAAATTGTAATTTGAAATAAAAGTTTAAATGCAAGAATTGTTTCAATTCATACAAATAGCCAACTCAGAAATTATGTAAAACCGCAGTGCTTTTCTTCGCTAGTGCATGCTCATTAGAATTGATGAATTTAACCCTTGACTTTGCCTTTTCTATATTTTCGCCTTCGGGTGAGTGGTGTGATTGCATCCTAATTGACTTAATTACCTCGAATTGAACTATGTGGTAAAAATTCTGTGTAATTGTATGCCAGTATTGAAAGAAACAATCAATCTGATAAGAAATGGCTGCGTTTTGTTTTGAAAATGAGCCGTAAAATGTTACCAGTGAGGATTTTTCGTTTGACATCAGTTTTACCATTACTGTCGACTTTGCCTGGGCCTGCAAAATGGAAAAGTATAAAATATATTTACAGGTGCCCCTTGCCGATTTTTGGCGGTACATGGACACATACCGAGTTTGTGCAATTCTTTGACGTGTTATTTTGGCACATCGTTTGGTTTTTTACACATCAACATATTTTCACTTGAAAAAATCAGAGAGAATTGCACAAACTTGGGATTGCGCTCTCCCTTGACTTTGGCCATGTACTCATCGAGCTATTTTTCACTTAAAAACTCAAAGGAGTAGCCAACAAAAAATATATAATGTCAATAAACTACATTTAAATCAAACAATCAAATATCATAAAAAAAGGAAATTCATCTTTGCACTACACAAAGGAAATATCCACTTACCTTATTTATGAATTAACACGTCTTCAGTCAAACAAAATTCGGTGCTACTTTGGTAGACGGTTGCATGGATTTTTGGCGATTTACGTTGGCGCAATTGTTGGTGCGGTTTTAACAATCGTCAGCCATCTTGAAAAACGTTGTTTTTTAAGATGGCAGGCAAATGTAAATAAATACATTTACTACGAGTATAAAATACTAAAAAAAGGTTAAATTATTACTTTCATATAGCACAGAAGTAGAATTAAAAATATCGCTATAAAAACATTGCACCAACGTTTAATTAGATAAAAATATTACGTAAATTGAATATCAAATTAAAAATCGTCATACCAGTGTTTAAAAGAATTAAAGGTACTTTTCCGTTTCGCCGGCGCAAATCTCGCCAAGCAGACTTTGTTGGCGACAACATACAGTATACACATAAAAAATGTTAATTCTAAGAATTTTTTTTTTATTTTGAAGGCATAAACATTTTAATATGGTTTAAAATTTTGTAAAAAGCCAATAAATAAAGACAATAAATTTGTAAAAAGACATTAATTTAAGAATTTACTATGATTTCATGGTTCAATATCCTGATTCGCCGGTTCGTATCACGTGACCCAAGTGATCTCATCTCACGTAAACTACGCTACTAAAATCTAATTCGCTCAGTAATTATCTACATTAATTTCAAGTTAAATCTTAATTTGGAATACAAGTTTAAATGCAAGAATTATTTCAATTCGTACGAATAGCTTACTCAGAAATTATGTAAAACCGCAGTGCTTTCCTTCGCTAGTGCATTCTCATTAGAATTGATGAATTTAACACTTGATTTCGCCTTCGGATGAGCGGTGTAATTGTGTTCTAATTGACTTAGAACCTAATTGACTTATTACCGTGAATTGTCTTAGGGGATAAAATTTAAATATCGTGTAAAAATTCTATATTATTGTATGCCAGTATTGAAAGAAACAATCTGATAAGAAATGGCTTCAACTTGTTTTGAAACTGAGGCGTAAAAGGTTACCAACAAAGATATTCCGTCTGGCATCAGTTAAACCATTATTGGCGACTATCGTTTGCGCCGTCAAAACGCAAAAGTACCGAATTAAAATATTACTTAAATTAAATAAGAACGCTTCGTGCACTAGAGCTAAAATGACAGCAATTAGTTTATTCTCCGTAAAAAAGGAAGAATGTCTAATACTTTGACCAACATGACCACAATACCATATACGACCGTGCTCAGAATTGACTCTTCTAACGATCTTCATCTGTGATCTACATTTTCGCACTTCGTTAAAAAAGCAATTAGCAAGGTTTCCTCCAAAAATTTAAAATAAATTTCCTCTGACGCTTATAAATTATAAATAATCTTATGGGAGAAATAATAATATTATGCGGAAATAAAAACTTAATGGAGTGCCAAATAGTCTAAGGAATTTTTTTATCTTCAAAATTTTATACAAAAATTCTTTGAAACGCTTGTGGTGATGGCGATAAGGAGCGCGCCTTGCGCCCTCCGATAAGTGTGGCAACCCTAGAGGAGAAGTTTCTTACGAGTAGCGAGCAGAGCGAAACAGGCAGGCTGTCGGGGAGTGTGCGCGAAGTTCCTAAATAAAGCTTAATTTTTATTGTGCACTATGTCTTGTTAATATTTATATTAATGCAGTAAGAACATAATCTGTGATATGGAATTCGAGGATTGGTGGGTAAAAACATAACAGGAAATCACCATAATGGTAACCCGGACTGTGTTAAATCGTGTATGAACAGTTCTCAAGCACTTTCGGTTTTGACTACAAGCCATCACTCAAGATCTCCAAACCAGAAGTAATGGATTACATCGGTTTTCATCCTCCCGATCACAGATGAGTAGTAATTATAGATCATTTTATAATTCTGTTTTCTACTTATCATTTAATTTCATTTTCTTTAGTTAAATTTTTGCTTTTATTTTGGCTTAAAAACCTTGCACAATGTCTGATGTTCATGCCGTCCAAATTCCGGTTTATAACCGATCAGACCCATCTTTATGGTTTATTATGTGTGAAAGTACCTTTGCTCTTGCCACCCCCAAACCTATCACAGAATCCATTACTAAATATAATTATGTAGTTTGCTCATCTTCCTCCAGATATTGCATCACTAGTACGGGATTTACTTATGAAACCAGACCCTATTGATCCATATGCAAAGCTTAAAACTGAGTTAATAAATCGTTCAGGAGAATCTTCTCAGCAAGAAATTCGCCAATTATTATCTGGAGAAGAATTAGGTTCTCGAAAACCTTCCGATTTGCTTAGAAATATGAAACGTCGAGCAGAATCTTTAAATGTTCCTGATAACTTAATGTTAGAATTATTCCTTCAACGTTTGCCTTCGACTG